ATCCACAAGCTTGGTGAAGACTTTGTGGTGTATTAATTCAGTTTGATAGTAAAGAAATTCTCAAGGAGGTTCCTTGGAGAGTAGACGTAAGCCTGACGTACCGAACCACTATAAATCTTAGTGTTTGATTTTCTCTCCCTATCTCTCTTACTTTTATATTGATAATTATTATTCTGTTTTTTATTTGTTAAAATTCTGAATATTGTGTTTATAAATTTTAATATTGAAATTTTTTTTTTAATAACTCAATTCACTTCCCTCTTGAGTTGCCTATCTAGGATAACATCCTGGTGCCCATGTTCTTTGAACTTTAGCTCATCTGCTTTGACTTTCTTTCTAAAGATCTTCTTAAGTGTCCAACACTTTTCTTTAGGATGTCCTAGTGATCGGTGGAAAACAGAATAATTAGGGCCCTCGCGATCTTTCTTCAGTAAAAACTCTTCGATATGAGGTAACTTCAATTCCCCGTCTGCCATTCATTCTTTGACTAAGGTCTTCACTTTCTCAATACTATTTGGAAAATGAGTGTCATCTTCGTAGGTCTTCCTCTTCTGCCCTCTGAATCCCCCCTTGCGACTTTCGGGTAGAAGACGCGAAAGTCGCAGTGACAGAAGGTCCTTGGGATGATTTGAAGCTGGTTTTATAACTAGTCTTAATCCCGATCTCCTAAGACTGAGAGATGTTGATGTTCACTTTCAAGGAAGATGATGGAGAAGGGAAATTATTTCTTTTCCAAGAGTTGTCTCTCCAAAATCCATAACTTGTAAAGTTATGAGTGAGTGCTATTTATAGGCATCTCATTATGTAGGATGGAGCCCATGTGCAAGGCACATGGGGAATATTCCCTCTAACTACCTTGTCCGATGAGGTGATTTCTTTGAGGATAAGGTAAACCCCAAAGAAGAGATCAACCTCTTGGCAAACCCTTCTTCTTAGCCACACTTAACCAATGATCCCCAATCATTCCAAAGGGTCAGGGGTAGTCCAAGAGGACGTCCTACCGCAGAAGAGTCAAGATTAGTTCAAGAGAATGCCTGCCGCAAATATTGCCAAGTCTCAAGGACCTCGTAGATCGTGCCACCTCGACCTGGGTATAGGCTAGTTTAACCGAAGAGTGAATTTATCTTGACTTATCATCTTCGAAATCGGGCCCTTTGTTCGGTTTCTGTCACACCTATGGTTCTGGTACGTAGATCCCAGAAAGCTCCGAGCCCGCAAGTGTTCTGGGACTTATTAATGGAGCGACTTCTAGACTGCATTCGAATTCGTTCGAAGCCAAGTGCTTTGGATCTCTAAGTTCGTGGATCCGAACCTTTTCAAGTCCGAGCTCAAATAGGTCTCTAGGTTCGTGGTTCCGAATCCTTTCAAGATTAAGCCAATACCTCGGAGAATAGATCTCCTTCGAGAGCTTAATGGTTAACCTTCTCGGACGTTCGTATGATCTGGGCCTCCTCGAATGGGCTTGTTGAACTCTCTTTAGAGATAACTGCTTGATGGGTCTTCCTTAGCCTAATTTGTTGGCTTTCTCATAGGCCCGTTCAATGGAATTCACTTGGGCCCATTTGGCAATAATTTTTTCAAGCTCACCAATTTTTTGGCCTTTCCGATTGAGTTTCGATTGTGCCCAATTAATTTAATAGGTTTAAGTTAACCCCTCTTACACATTCATATTAAGGGGTTTCACAATTTTTGTAAAACACCATCAATTATTTTCTATATCGTTTTTTTAACAAAAATTAAAGGACTCAATAGTTAGATTAACAATAACATATTATTGGAGTTGTTTTTATTTTGTCATTTAAATAGTATATTGTTTGAGAACTACTATTTCTTGTTAGTGTCTGATACTTGTGTGCTTATAAGTTTGGTTTTATTTTTCCACGAGCATTCTTATGGATAATTTATAATGTAAAAGTTTTTTTTGTATTAAAAAAAATTATAATACTTATGTAAAAGTTTGGTTTTTTCTGTATTTATAATGCTTATGTGCTTATAAGTTTGAATTTTTTTTCTGTATTTGAAAATTATTTTCTGTATTGAAAAGTTTTTGAAATAATTTAATTTTTTTAGTTTGTTTATTATTTATTATTTGGGTTTACCTTGAGGGTAATTTGGGAAAAATAATAGGGTGTAATTAAAGTAAAATAAAATTTTAAATAATTAAATAGGGTGTACTTAAAAATTTGGAGTACTTAATGATTTTTTTGGTGTAAATAGAATCCCCCATCAGACTGACTCATCATCACCAATCGCAAACCAAACCCTACTGAAAAAGGATTTGGGGTAACGATTGTGCGAGGTGTACAACAACCATTGTTATGTAGTTAAATGGATCCATTTCAAAGCACATTTCGATCATCCGGACCGTTTATAATTTATAATATATCAAGTAGAACATACTTACAAAAAAATCAAATTAATCAGATATCATTTACCCTTTCATTCACTCACACTTGTAACTACAAAAATAAATAACAACTGTAATTTAAAGTATTAAAATGAATATAAATGTGAATGGATTAAAGGGTAAACTTGATTTTTTGCAGGTATATTCTACTTGATATATTTTAAAATGTGAACAGTTCGAATTATCGAAATGTGTTCTGAAATGGATCCATTTGATTGCACAACAACCGCACAGTAGCCACTCCAAATCTTTGAAAAAAAATATACTTGAAAATTTCAAGTTTTTTCTTTTAAATTATTTTTTTGCGAGGAAAAAAAAAATCTATCTTTTAGGGAGCAAAAAAGATCCCAATTTGGATGTCACTCACTTGGTTCGGATCGTTTTTACTTCTAATGTATCCACTACTCATTTAAGCTACCTTCTAACAATGAATAATTTTACATATACTAACAATTTTACTGAAAATATAAAAAATATTTCTTGTAAGAGTTCAAGTAGATGTTTTATTGTTTTGTAACAATCTCATTGTCATTTTTATAGAAATAATAAAGAAATACTTTTTTAATTTTTTTTTAATAGTTGTATTGGTCATGATTATGATTTCAGTTGAATTGCAAAACAGTTTTTATTTATTTATTTTTTATTATTATTATGTTAAGAACTCAGAAAATATATAGGTATCAAGACATGAAATTGTGCGGGTTTAAGAGCTTATTTTTGTTTCTAGGCTTCCAGCTTCCCAATTCACCTCTCTCTCTCTCTCTCTCTCTCTCTCTCTCTATATATATATATATATATATAGTAATTGTACATATAGAACCAACCATACTTTAAAAATAAGGATTTTTTTTAGGGTCCCTGATATTAAGACTTTATAATATAAAGGATATCTAATATTTTTATAATGTCTAAGGCCCCTCAATTTGACCCAGAGAAATTCTGTCCAGAGAAATTTCAAACCAGAGAAATTTCAAATTTCTCTGATTTGTTCAATTTTTTTGATTTTCTATGTTTTGAAATTTCTCTAGGGTTGAATTTTCTCTAATTTTCTCACAAATAACTCTGTCATTTGTTGCTTTGCTTGCCTTCACTCTTGGTGTCAAGCAAATTATGAGAATTTCTCTGGCCTTTTCTATAACCAACTCAGAGAAAATTCAGAAAATTCGGTTAAAAAACCAGAGAATTTCTCTGGTTTCAACCTAGAGAAAATTTAGTTCAGGTGATCGTGATTTACCATTTCTTTCTGATTTTTTCTTTTTTTTAAACAGCCACCCCCTCCTTCGTCTACCACCAGACTACAAATTAAACTACAAACTCATTTACTAGGATCTTGTAGAACGCCAATCTTGCATGGTAAGATATAAGTAATCAGTTGTTTGATTTATATCTAACAAGAAAAGAAAGAAAAAACTATCATAGAATGAATATAAAACCCCACTTTGACCAGTCACCACAACCTCCCAACAATATTAACAAATTGAGCAAATACAACTGATGGAGCACACACCCTGTTGATATAATCTATTTAAAAAACATTATTGCACAACATATAATGGTGACGAAGATGCAATTTCAGTCAATTGAGAAAGTCATTAACTCAACACCTGAACAATAAGCTATTTGTAATTTCAGTCATATAATAAGCTAAAGGCATACCTGAACAATACCAGCATCAGACAAATTTACATTCCAAAATTGGCATTTGATGTTCTCTCTCTTCTTCTTCGACACAAATCTCAACCAAATTTGATCTTCGAACCTACTGAAAAACCCTAATTGCATAAATCAATCAGAAGCTGGACTAAGCCGTATCTGTGTAGTACCTACAGCAGATCTACGAAGCAATGCGTTACTCTGTTCTCACCCATGCTGCCAAACGTGCTCCTCCGGTGATGCTCCGACGGAGACTCCTACATAGGCTCCTGGTCCTTCAATCGCAAACACGGCTTCGGCGTGAAACACTACACTAATGGCGATGTCTATGTTGGTTCATAAAGGTCGAATTTGCAGGACGGTAATGATAGGTATGTTTGAAGGAATGGGAATGAGAACATTAAGGAGTGGAGGAATGGGGTTATTTCGGACAAAATGGCTAAATTTCTCTGTGATAGATGGAGGGACCTTAGACATCAAAATATAATATTGTCGATGTCTTCTATTACTAAAAATGAGAGAGAGACTTTAGACTAATTTTTCCTTAAAAATAATGTTTAGCTTTAGCTTTTAGCAGCCCCAAAAGAAAACCTTAAAAAGTAAATAAACAGAAATAAAAAGAATGTTTAAAGGCACCAACCTACCCTACAAATATTGAGGAATTTTTACCGTACACTCTCTTTAAAAGAAATATATCTTATATATTATTAGTTATACTACTTTCGTCTTTAATTATAAATCATGAAACTTTTGATTATATCTCATGTAATATTTAGTTATAATAATAATAATAATTTTTTTTTTAATAAATCAAAAAGTATGAAATTATACTATTTTTTTTCTTTAGTTATAAGATGTATATGATACACACCTTTTAATTTTTCTCAAATATCAAATAAGGTGTGACAAAAAATTATAAAAACAAAAATAAAAATAAATATTTAAACGTCAATTAAATGAAAAAAAAAGGCAACCTATAATACATGATAATAATGAATGCAAGGAACATTATCACACTACATACATACGGAAAAATATGCGCCTGAGAAGGTCAAATAAATAAATGAACATACAAGAATATCATTCACCTGGAATCTACTAATTCTCTCTAATATTAACGACCAAAATGAATAGTAATGAATCAATTTCGAACCTTCTGTGAACTGCAGCCAAGAATTGACAAACCGAGTGAGAGACAGAAACCCGAAAATATGCTATACAAGAACATGCCACCTCCACGAGCAGCAGTGTATTGGCCAAATGAACTAAAATACAGGCAGAACAGGAAGGCGCCTTACAGTTTCTTAGGCAAGTTGTAAGTTTTCTTGAGGAATTTTGAAGCAGCTTCATCATTTCGGTGACACAGTACGCGAAGGAGCGTGTTTGGTCCACTTGGGTTCCACTGCCCCGAGGTTGGTGGTAGAGGAAGTTGGGATTTGGCTGACGGGCCATAAGTTTCCAAAGTCAAGCGCCTAAATCGCTCAGTAAGGCTGTCTGTATCAGTTCGGAAAAGGGGAAGGACATCCCTTGCTGTTGTCGAGAACTTGTTAATCAAATCAGCTGGCAGTCCATCCCCATTTGCATAGAATATATCTTTAAGGGACTTAAAATCATCCTCTATTATTTGGGAGTCTTGTCGGGTAAATGCTCGAGATGGGCCTCCCGTAAGCAAAACCAACAAGAATCCTTCAAAGGAAGCTTTCATTATGTCAGCAATAACCCTAGTACGAACTCTTTCGTGCACTGTGTCTGATATGCTCGTCAAATTCTGCTCAAGCTCTAGAAGAAAAGGTTCAATCCTAGAAGATGATGGCTCACCAACATACAGACCATTCCAAAGCACATGACTCAGATCACGAAATATGACTTTGTAACCCACAGCCTCAGAGAGTTGTTGGACCCCTTCTAAACAGGCAGCTGGTGCTAGCTCGAATTTTTTCGCCAATCCATTTGAAAAGTCTTCGGTATGAGCAGATTCAGAGTTCCTCAAATGGGTGATTATTCTCTTCTCTACAACTTCTAACTCTGTACGGATTTGGTGCAAAGTGTTTATACGAACGCATAGCTGTGGTATCCCAAAGGAAGTGTCTCCGTTCATTGTTGCAACCTGAGAATTCCTCTTCTGAGAGTTCTGAGACTTTTCTTTCTTCTTCCATACACCCTGAAATTTTGTTCCTATTGTACATCTGGTTAATGCTGGCATAGTCGGAACAAATGTGTTCCTTGATCCTACATATCAAATCAAATAAATATCGGTTAAATCATGGATGAAGAACTGAAACCTTGAGGCCTATAAAGATCTTTTTGTGAGATTGAAAATATTTACCGCAGCCAGATTTTGCCTTGGCTACGTAATATTGAAGACATCTGTCGAGGCCAGCCATCAAATCAGGAAGCAATGCTGGATGCATTGGGATTGGCAGCTGAAAATACGCATCCAAGGTTTCATCTATCATTCGCAAGACTTCAACAGCTGATGGAGCATATCCTTCTTGATTTGCTTGTGGATTCCAGACCTATAAAATTGCAGAGGCCAAAGGTAGTACTGGAGATTAGCTTTAGCAAACAAACTGCCTTTAGCCAAACAAACCTCTACCAAATGACTTTACCAAGAAAACACTATAACATTCCGTCAAAGTCTGAACTACCTCACCTTCCCAGTGAGTTAAAACCAATTAAGCTTGTCGAGGGGGTAAAAAGGAAAAGAAAAACCATGCATTTAAATTTTTAAAGATGAAAATAAATAATCCTCACTCAAGATGGTTAAGACTTGGTCTAATAATCTTGAGGTTATGAGTTCAAGTCTTGAAACCATCACTTCGTGCATTATGCCAAAGATTAGATGTGTACTCAATCTTTTCCCTCCCAAACACACATTAATTTGTACTAGTTGGACGTTGTTTTTTAGGCTTCCTTAACAACTGGGATTTAGAACAAATCCAATTAATTGACAAAAACAAAGGCATTACTGCATAGACAATCCTCCATCAAATGCGTAGACATACCTCTTGTTGAAGATTCCGGTCAACCCACTCCTTCAGTCTGTCCACTCTCACCTTAATCCAAACTTTAACCAGATTGGCTATTGCAGCTTCAGTTTCGAAAGGAGGCATCTCACGAATTATTGCCTTGCCTCCATCATCGCTGTCCACTGAATCTTCAACTGCAATTTGAACAAGATCTTTCTCCAACTTATCTGCTGCTGTCAACACTTGTACAGCATCTGGTGTCAACTCCGTTATACCAGAAATGAATTGCTTCAGCTCATTCCCATAACAAACATGAAGGGTGGCAACAGCCACACCTGCTGCAAATGGATGCCATCTCTTCAGTATGGGACTGAATATGTCCTTCTCATTAATTGACAGCTCACCAACATCCTTTGCAAGGATGGCAAGGACAGGGAGAGGATTTCGCTGGTTTCTTGATGCTCTCCTACTTGAATCTGCCTTCTCCATTCTCTGCAATTCGACAGATCAAACTCTTCTTTACTAAGAACAACAATAATTTAGACTGGAACTTTTTGATTACTCATATGTAATGGGAACTGATAAAATAAAAAAAATAAAAAACAAAAAAAAAAAGGAACAAAAATAGGACATGCATGCATATTTTTAAAGGCAATGAACTTTTGTCACAGACAATACATACTGTATCAAATCTTGGCAGCATAAAAACTCCAAAACCCCTTTTCTATTACTAATTTATAGGAATTTAATAATTTCTATACAATAGATATGCCTATTCATGTGTGCTTATCTACCCTAATAATTGATATAAGAGGATTTTTTTCCAGAAGTTAGTTAATTAGAAAAACAAATATCAATTATACAACATGGAACAAAGCTGGTTCCTCAAAATACTATTAACCAATAGAAAAAATTAAGTTTTAAAATAACGATTCTAAGTGGGTCAACTGTAGATACAAAACTTTCTCATTGGTCATATAGGTGGTCTACCAATAATCAGTCAAAGATGACAAGCTTGCAGGCTACACAATGCCAATTAGCTGGGCTGGTGCAACGATTTCTCATTCCACCCGAGGCCAAGAAGCACGGACATACTGACACACCAATTTTAAAAAAAAGTACAGGACACGACATGTGGAAGACATATACAAAATATATGCTTTTTTATATTTATTATATGTCATATATGAACATTTTCTCAAAGACAATAAAAAATGCAACATAACACTATTTCTTAAAGTTTAAAGGGGGAGGGATTAATAGGTATAACTATATATTGCTTTTGTTTTATCATTATATCCTCTAAGTAATTTTGTTCAAACTTATAATGTGTTTCATATGTGTAATGTAGGGACATGTGTGTCTCCAAGTGTACGAAGTGTTCACCCACCTTCTTAGAAGTATCCATACTTCTTAGACCTGAGGTATGGGCATAATGGGCAGCACAAGGGACAAAATTGTGAGGTTTACTTGAGCTTTGACTAAGCTGAAGCCTGAAGTATTAGATACAGACAACATAAAATATTTAAAGGACAACTAATTTATTTTAATTCGAAATCTCACGTTCAAGTATTGCAAATCAAACAACCATCTATGCTCTTTTCTTTTAAAGACCAACCTATTTTGCTAGATATTTTGGGTTTGGTTGACCTAGTGGATTTTTGCAAGATTACCAAGGTTAGCAGGAAGGAATGCTGTTCCTTTAGTTCATCTCTTCTCTTTTGCTAATTGAGACTGGAGTCAAGTTAGTTATCTTGTTCATGAAGGTGGATTAAGAAAGGCAAAAAGTCCTTTTTCATACAATATTGAACAGAAAAAATCGTTCATGTTTATGAATATACATTATACTTGAACAGTTTTGTTTATTTTAGACCTTTCTCTATAACACAAGCACTAAACACTTCGTATGCAAAGTGAAAATCTAAATCTATATGAAATAACAAAATTTTAAAAATGCAGGCAACTTGGCTGAGTCCAAATTTTGTGGTTTGTTGAATGCAATCCAACATCTTTCATCATATGTCACCCTCCAAGTTCCCATATGATTTCACAGTACACAGCCTGCATTTTCTGGAATACAAGATGCATAACAGGGAAACTGGCTAAAACATCAACATCATATTTTGCCTCTTCTTAACTAGAGAGAAAGAAAGAGAGGCCGCATCAGATAGTATGGACTTGCCTGAGCAAAAGCAGTACGAATAGATGACCTGATATAAGTGTCAATCCTGTTACGAGCCACATCAACTTCACCTTTCCTCCTCCTGCGATATTCATTAGATGTGTCTTCGACTAAGATTTTGGCTGCTGATACACCCAGAGATACAATGCTTTGCATTGAATCGATATTTCCACTATCAAAAGTGTCGTGATATGCAAGGAGCCTTTGCTCTGCCCAACCTAACATTGAACTCAATGTAGAACTCAAGATCTTAGAGTATGCGGGATCTTTTGTTGTCTTTGCATCTTTCGCAACTTCTGCTAGCTGACTATCGGCAGCATATAGCAGGCCATTTTCAACTTGGCCAGTTGCTACAAAACTATTAAATAGAACCCACGAAAAGCAAATGTTATGAAGCATTTGATTAATTCCAAGGATTCCCCAAGTTTTCTTTATGAGTTCCATAAGCTCATCGACTTCATCTACAATAGAAGTTTGATCATTAGCATCAAAGCAAGCCTCTAAAAGAATTTCATAGAGTCGGAGATTCAATGGGGACCCATCAGCCCAATGGCATGATTCTGCGAGAGATCCATCAGTTGATCTGGAAGAAAGAGACATTACAGCACTACGAAGGACTTGCATAGACTCACTGTTCCTCCCAGTTTCAATTGGTCTATCTAAGGCTCCATGAATGATTTGCCGAAGCCGTTGTGAAGCAGTATTGGACTTGTCTAGTGGTAGATGAGGATGTAACAGGAGTCCAGCCTCAAGAAGTCTCAGGTTTCTCTTCTGCCATGCTTCATATTCTACTTGATTAGTAAAATCTGACAATTTGTACTGCTGCAGTAGCTCTAGTGGAAGAACCATTGATTCGACTCGCTTTCCAACCTATAGAAGCAATAATGATAATAATAAAGCTCAAGATACACTACTCTAAACCACATAATCCTGTGGAAAGCAAGATTCGTTAAAAAATTAATTAAATATGAAATTTTCCCTAAGCTGCTATTTCAATTCCAGAAATATGCAATTCAAGCCATGAAATATCAGAAATTTGATCCACTTTTGCCTGGCAGGTAAGAGAGAGATTGGCCAGTCTACTCATAATGAGAAAGAGCCCAAATTTTGAAATTTTCACAAACCAACAATACAGAAAGGGCATGTTTGATTAGTAGGATTATAGCATAGAATTGAGATTGTTAGCCCATGGACTCACAATTCCATGTTTGATTGCAAATTTTATTAACTGGATTATATGTAGGGCCGACATTTAATCGGACCAAATTGACAAACTTTTAATATTGAGAGAGGCTAGGAATCATAATTTCAAGTATGAAAGAAGACAAACAAAATTAATAGATAATAAATGGTTATCTCACTAATTTAGTTAGATAACTAATCCTACACTAATTCATGGAATTATTAATCCTTTTACTACAATTAATTCTGTTAATCAAACAAGGCCAAAGAGTTAAAAGAACGTGTTTATTCCAAGGGAGACATGTTTTAGTTCAGCAATATATTCCCATTATGTTAGCAAACTGGAAACAAACAAAATTATTGTTGAATCAATATAATATGAACCATTAGTACCGAATTGATTAGATAGATTAAAAAGCAGCCAAATACAAATCCAGACACAATTTGAGTTGAATTAGTAGAAGAACTCAGTAAAATTCAACCTTACATATAAGAAAAAAATCCAAAAAATTCAGTTAAGAAAAGCTGCAACTCATCCCATTTTTGATTATTCACGCCTAAGGGATGATAGAGTAAATCTTAGATACCTGCAACCACCCATAAGCCACAAGGTATCGTGATGGTAAGACAAAGTGTTGCCAATGGTACAACAAACTCAAGACTTCCGAATTCATGGTTTCGTCCGAAGCCCCTCCTTAAACAATTGGGGCCACCTTGGCAGGTTCATCATTTTAAAATCCACTAAATATATAGAAAAAAAAATTAAAATTTTAGGCCTTCTTAAGCAGTTTAGCTTGAAAATCTCAAATGAAGATGCATTACCAACATATTGTTGAATTCATACACAGAAAATTTACAACTACTCCATTTAAAGAAGAAAAAAAAAGCCATTAAACAATGCAATTTTTTTTTAACCAATACACGAACTTAAAATACCGAAAATTTTTAAAAAAAATTATGAAAACTACAGACAAAGAGTAGCAACATTAACCATGATCTGGATCACAACATAATAATCAACACCATTTCTTGTCAAATTCACGTAAAACCAATAAAAAAAACGAAGGGGAAAAAAAAAAAAAACTACAATTCGTCAATTTAGCAGCTAAAAAAGCAGATCACTAAACCTATACTCATGAATATGTACCTGGCCAGCAGCAATTCTTAACAGAGCTCTCCGAATTCTAGAGTCCGTAGTCTCGGAAACCCTCATCTGAACCCTCATTAGCTCTCCCACAGTCACTGGCTTCTTCGTCTTCCCGCCCGAAGACGGACTTCCCTCGCTCCTCTTCGAACTAGATTGGATTCCCAGCGCCTTCTTCATCTTGCTAGCCGCAGTGGAAGTGACATATCTCTGCATCGACGGCGAGCTTGGCGAAGGGGACAGAGATCGGTCGGAGTTGGAGGAATTGCTGGAAATGTAAGTGAGGGACTTGCCGGAGGAGGTCCGGCAAGCTGCAACGAAGATCTCGTAGGCGGTGTCGCGGATGTCGGCGGCGGAGAGAGTCGGCGTGAGGTCTCCGAATGGGGACGGGAGGGAGGCTGCGGCGGCGGCGGCGGTGGTCATGGTCTCTCTCTTGGATTGGCCGAGTGACCTGTCCCGGAACAGAGAAGCCATTGCTGAGAGAGAAAGTAGAGACAATCGGGGAGAGAGAGAGAGAGAGAGAGAGGATGTTTGTATTTTTTTTGGGTTTTGATTTTGAAAGCAAAATTTTAATTGTAGAGAATTTTTTATTTGTTGGATGATGAAGAAGGAAGCAAGTTGTGAAATTTTTTATCATACATCTTAAGTCTTTTAAAATATATAATTAATATAAGGAAAATTTATCCATAAGTCCTAGTTTTTGAAACGTTGAATCATTTAGTCTTAAAAAATTTTTTATGCTCCATTTAGTTCTATTTTTACATCAACATGATGTGAATGATGTAAATGATCTGATATTTCATTCTATAATTTCAAAATTTATTGAAATCTGATGAACATTAGATATTTTTCATCCTATATTTTCAAACATTATTGAAATTTGATGAACATTAATAAGGAAAATTTATCCATAAGTTCTAGTTTTTGAAACGTTGAATCATTTAGTCTTAAAAATTTTCTTATGCTTCATTTAGTTCTATTTTTACATCAACATGATGTGAATGATGTAAATGATCTGATATTTCATTCTATAATTTCAAAATTTATTGAAATCTGATGAATATTAGATATTTTTCATCCTATATTTTCAAACATTATTGAAATTTGATGAACATTAGATGTTTGAAATCCAATGTTTGTAACATGACTCTGATGTTATTAACATTGTATCTGATGTTATTAACATTGTAATGGGACCTTTCAGTCTATAAGAAAACTTTTAGGACTAAACAGTGCATAAGTTATTAATTTGGGATTTATTGGTGCATCCCCCAAATAAGAAAACTTTTAGGACTAAACAGTGCATAAGTTATTAATTTGGGATTTATTAGTGCATCCCCTTAATATAAACTTCAAATTTTAAATAGATAAATTATGTTTTTTCACATTGTGAGTATTATTTTTGAATAATTTTAATTTATGTATTTTCGTGATTCTCTTATCATTGTCATTCAAAATTTAAATAAAATGTATTCATATAGAAAATTATTAAAAACATATATATATTACTTTTAATTTTATGTTTCAATTTTTATTTAATTTTTTTGTTTTCAATGCGGTGAAGAAAGAATTACATTGAAATACGAGTTAAAGTATAATTAAAAGGTGATTGATCAAAATAAAATTTGCATAAAAATTAAATGGTGAAAAATATATTTTACCTAATAAATTTTGTAAAACTGGCATATAACTCCATAAAATATAATTTTTGAGTGTGAAATGCAGAAAAACTAAAGAGAAAGGTGTGAGAATACTTTTATTGTTGGTGTTGGCTATTTCTACCAAATTTTATTCAACTTTGAAGGGGTCTAGAACTTCTTTGAAAGTTTTGAAAGTTTTGTTAATATCATGAACTTCTTAGAAAGTCTACATGAAATAATTGCATATTAATATTGAATGATTGAGACTCTTTTATGATATCAAAATATAGGGTAGTTATTGGCTAGTTTCGAAAATTTATTTGACATTATTCACATGATTCTCTTAAATAATCAAATATAAATATAGTAGAAGAATTTAGACATTCAAAGACAACAAAATAATTCACTTTGTGCATTTTGTTTTCCACATTATTAGAAGTATCATGTAGACAATATTTCATGTAAAATGTTAAGTACCCGAAAAATGAGTCGAGAAAATTATTCAAAATTGAAAATAATGATTGAGATTCAATTAATGCTGTGAGCTTCAGACTAAAATTCTGAACCAAAAAATAATATTTTTAAATAAAATTTTTGGATATAATATTAATCATAGCACATAATATTCTTGAAACTATATAATATTTTTTTTTCAAAAAATATGACTAATTAATCTATTTCCCCTATTTTTAAAGCTTAGTTGATAAGTTTCACAACAAAGATCAGTATGGGGGCAGTTGTTAGAAAGAAACCAATGGTGGGAAACAAAGCTGGAACAGGAAAGAGATAGGTTGGAATGTGACCTGTTGATCATTTGATGGTTGGACCAGTTATACATACGTAATAGTATAGACGAGAGAGAGGAGAGAGAAATTCTAATCTGGTAGTATGAAGACAAGAAAATAATTAAAAATATAATGAGTGACGGTGGCAGAAAATGTTGACAGGTTCATTATAACTGGTAGGTCATTTGGTTTATTCCCGAACAAAATATTATTGTAGAAGTACTTGGAGTGCTGATCACCATGGTCATGGACACCATAAGCTTACCATACACTCAAACTTGATTGGCTATAATTTGGACATGTCAAAAAAATTTGTTTGACAAAATTTAGGTTTTTAGTTTATTTTGAACTTTTAAGTTGAAAAAACCAAATAAAGGACTTAACTTTTTAAAATATAATTGTTTAAATATGAAAAATTAGAATTTAATCTAAATAAGTTGTATGGATTTTGTATGGATATGTTTTTAGGAGAAGTTATTAGTTAGTTTTGGAGTACCACCAGGTGATGTTTCAATGATGTTGTGATTGGTGGAGGGATGAGATGCACGAGTTTATTTTTGGTGATTGAGATATATGAGGGAAACATAATGGATTGTGATTGGTGCAAGGCATGATCACATAGTGTCCCAAAACTAACCAATAAATTTTCTGTCTTTAGGGATTTGTACTTTTGTCTAATTATTTTTTATAATTTTATATGATAATACTCTTACAATGAAAAGTTGGCCCAATAATTTGGACGACTGATTTTTCTTTGTTTAATATTGGAAAAGTGTACCAAAAATAAGAAGACAAAATGCCATCTTGTCACCTAATGTGGTGTTTTAAAATTTTTAAAATCTAATTAAAAGAAAATAATTTCTTGTTTTCACTTTTTAAAAAATATTTTTCAAAAAATTATATTTTCTTATTTTTCGTGATTTTTTGTTTTTACTGAATTTTTTTAATATTTTAAGCAATTTTTTTACTTTTTAGTCACATCTAACATAAATACATCTAAAAAATAAAAAAATCTTTTAAAAATTCACTAAATACCAAAAATATAAGAATTCAATACATTTTTTGTATTTTTATGTATTTATTAATTTTTTAAAATATTTTTTCATAATTTTTTTATTTTTTAGATACATCTAAGTAAGGTGCATTTAAAAAAGTAAAAAAAATGTTTAAAATTTTAAAAATATTTACTAAAAACAAAAAATCACAAAAATTAAAAAAGTTAATTTTCAAAAAATTTAATTTAAAAAACTCAAACCAAACACACTTAATGTTTTTCTTTCTTTATTTTTCTTTTTGATTTGACGATAATGTGCTAATTCTAGACATCATTTTAAGAAACTTTTAACCCCAGCCCCTTGTTAAAAGTTTGTACTTCTTCGATTATAAATTGTGAGATTTATATCTGCACATATTTTATGAGAAAAATTTAATAAATCAATATGTAGACCTTATATTTTTTTATCATTTTCACCCGATAATAGACAGAAAATTTTGCAACCAATAATCAAATGGGGAACTTCGATATCATTTTACGAACTTAAGATGGTGCTTAGAATTTATGAGAAATTGATGTGGTAAGTGTAATTTATCTTTTTTTAATTATTATTTTTTGTTTTAAAAAATTAAATTGTTCATTTTTTTAATTTTAGAAAATACAAGATAAATTAAAAATGAAAAACAAATTGATGAAGATCAAATTTGTATGATCCTAAGCTAATCTAATGAACTTGTAACGGAAGAGGTGAATCTCCGATGACATAAAAAAAAACCCCTTTGATAAATAAATTAGTTCCTTTATAATAGGATAAAATGTAGAGAGACATAGAAAAATGAGAAATTTATAGTTTAGAGTATGGCCTTCTTTGTTCTTGTTTTGTCTTGGCTTTTTTTTATAGAGTTTCTAATATGTGTCACTTAGCCGCGATAGATCCCATGTCGCTTAACTTGACATTGCCTACTTTTCTATCAGGTTCCGTGCTTTCCGGTCAGTAGGTGAGGATAGCTCAGTTCAATAGCCAGGGGATTTAGCCGAATATTCAGGAGATCAATAAGTATGCTGATAAGCCGTATCTTGCTTTTATTCTGTTTGCTGCTCCTCCGGAAACGACTTTCTTTAGCCAGGAGAGAAATCAGTAGGCTTCAAAGCGCACTACTGAATTAGAGGAAGAGATAGGATATTCCATAGATGCCGAGTTTACATCAGTGGATCTAGTTGTTGACTATGAAGGTGGTACAGAGGCAGCAGCATTCCCGATGCCGGTCCTATATGATGAAATTCCCTACCCCTCAGGACTTATCCTCCGAATCAGCAAACTACGGCCCAGCTAGATACGGCTTTGTTGAAGCAGTCTCTTTCAACGAGCAAACAGATGAACTGAAATAGCCCGTATTTGACCTAGTTGAACTCGAATGTATTTCTAACCTAATTTATTTATATATATTAGAGATGTACAACATTATAAGTAAATTTTGATTTTTGAGTGATTGAGAGAATCAGTAGTCGTTGGGTGTTACTATGATCATTTGGGTGCTTGGGCAATGGTTAGGTATGGTAAGAGTTCTATAGTGGTTTGAGTAGTGACAGTAGAGATAAAATATAGAATGAAAAAATTGTTGTGAAAAAGTAAAGGAAGAGAAAAAATAAAATAAGAACGGGATGGTAGTTGGTAATGAAAAGAAAAATGAAGAACAATAAAAACCGATTGGGTGGGGTGAAAACAACCAGCGATAGATGAATCGTTTGAGGGCATTAAAGTAATTTTAAATTTTCGTTTATTCAGAGGGAAATACTAGTAAGGGTGATTATTATAATTTTAATAATAACCTCTCAAAGTGTATTTATGCCTCGTTTAACAATATTATTTTTTAGTTTAAAAGTCAAAAAATTACTAAAAAAAATTAAAAAACCAACAATATATATTAAAAAGTCAAAAATTTTATTTTCTCTCTACTTTTTGTACATCTTTTCATAAAAAATTAAAAAATATCCAAAATATACTAATTTTTTTTACATCATATTTTAATTAAAATTTTAAAAAAATTACTAAAAAAATTTGTTTCCAAACGAGACATTAAATATTAATCATAAATTTTAAGAATGTGAATGTAATTTACAAAACAAATGGACAATTTGAAAAACTAACTAAAAACTAACTTTTAACTTCTAACTAATTTTAATTCATATCACTTTTTATATTTTTTGCAAAAAAAATAAAATTACCTTTTAACAAACTTTCCAAGTGGTTTTTTGAGAAATTAGTAAAAAGTTGATTTTTTAACTTTTTTAATTTATTTTGTCTTTTTATGAGTGAAAAATATAATAAGTGATGTGACTCAAAATAAGTAAAAAAAGAAAGAGTACTACTATTAACACCTATCTTTTTCTTTGAACCCTCCATCTTTTTTATTTTTTTTAATTCCAATTTTGTCCAAACATAAAGTTACATTTTTACCCTCGTCCCTAACATTCTAACCTTAATTTCCCAAGTCCTAACATTAACCCTAACCCTAACTTTCCAAATCCTACCCCACCAACCTTGTCGCCACCATCTTTATTGGTGACCACCACTGCCACTGCCACTGCCACTGTCGCCAATGACCTCTCTTTCCATCTCTGGCGATTTTGCTACCATTGTGCATCTCTCTCATCCTCCTTATTCTTCTTCTTCGCCCATGTTCATCAAACCCATACCACTATAAAAACCTTTCATCTTCTCTAGCAAATCCTAACCAATCGTCATCGTCCTTAATGAGAGAAAGTCTAGAGAGAGAAAACAGAGAGACCGATCTCATCGAAGATTTGCATCGCTACTAAGTTCAAAAGTACCGGTGATGATTTCAGTGTTGCTGAGCGACAAAGGGACGAACTACTACTACTTTGATGCCGACAATGGCGTCCAGTCACGGAGGTGGTGGTGGTAGGAGTGGAAGAGACGGAGGGATTGTTGTCTGCGGAGGTGAAACTGGAGATGGCTTGTTCGAGGTCCCAACCATGGACGGAGAGGATTTCAGTGCACAAATCAGGGTCTTCAAGGCCTGTGATTGCTTGAAAATAAGTTAACTTGTCTGCTACATCAACCATATCTCTGTATATATATATGTGTGGGTGTATATGTTTGAATTGAATGAAATTATAGAATTGGATGGAATTAGGGTTTGAGCTGAGAGGTTGCTTCGAAGATGATGATAATGGGGAGTCAAAAAGATGAGGGGTATAGTTAGTATTAAGGTGCGGGTTTAAAGAAAAAAAATGGGCGGATTTATTTTGGTGGGCAGGGGTTTAAAGAAATGGAGGACCAAAATAAAGATGTTGGTGCGGAAAAAAAAAAAAAATTACTTTTTTTTTCTTCCCTTCCCAAAACACCCCAAATCACTCAAAAGACTGCGTAGCGTTTTACAAATCGCACGTGTCTGGGGAACCATGTAGGCTGTAGTGTACTACCAATCTGTCAATTTTTTTAAGGAGCAGAGAGAGAGAGAGAGACCCAAAAAGAAGAACCAAATTGAATTGAAATATGGGTTCATCTTCCTCCATTAGAGCTTTCAGAGCATTTCCCCACACAATTTTGATTCTCCAATGGGTTCTCCTTCAAACACCCCAACTCCATTCCTCTTCATTGTAAAATTCTGTCTCTACTCTACACCAGCGCGCGCACACACATTTATGCATCTACTTTTTATCATTCTGTTTCTTTAAGATGATGATTTCCTTCTCCATTTGTTCATTGTTCAATCACCAAAAAAAAAAAAAAAAAACGAGTTGAAATGTGATTATGGAACTTATGGGTGCAGGTAAGGGTTTGCTAATTAAGAACATATCATCTTCATCATCATTGTATTCATCTTCTTCATCATGGGTCCATTCATTTGAACTCCATTCTCTCAAATCAGTAAGAAAGATTTCGACTTTCTCTCCTCTCTGTATGGGCAGGCGTTCCTGCAAGATTGCTGGCAGAAAGGTATATATATATATCTCTCTCTCTCTATATATATATATATATATATTTGTGTAAGATGACACAAAAGGTGATTTTTTGGGTCAAGAAATTTGTTTGTGAAGAACTATCTGCATATACAATGTGGGGTTCTTGGTTACATAGATTTTATTTGAATGTAGAATCAGAGATTCTTGAAACAAAGAGTGGTTGTTGTAATGATGTTCATTTGTTGACTAGTTTTGGTAATGGGAGAGTTGTATAAAGCTACCGGCTTGCTGGTATTTTTGTGGAAGATGTAGGATTGGTACTTCAATTGTGAACCCTACGTGTTTGATGAAATGCCTGAGAGAAATTCTGGTGGTTATTGTAGATAGAATGGCCTTGGTTTGTTGTCTTTACCATTGGCTTTATTGTTATGAAGATGGAGTGATCATGTGTGGAATATTTTAAGCATGTAATTAGGTCTCGTTTGTCAATTATATATTTTAGTTAAAAAGTTAAAAAGTCACTATAAGTTGTTACATCACTCTCTCTACTTTTTTACACATCTTTTCGTAAAAAGCTAAAAAATTATTAAAATAGCCCGTTCCCAAACGAGGCCTAATAATTGGGGCATTGCTTTATAAATCAGCAATGGTGAAATGCGTTGCGTAATGTTCTACAAATTGGTTATTTCAGTATGCTTTTCCAATTTTGTAATATAAAAAACAAAACATAGATTATTGTAAATGACATATTTTGAATTAGGCCTTGTTTGGGAAGTGGCTATTTTAGAGGCTTTTTGGCTTTTTAGCTATTTTAGTAGGCTATTTTAGTTTTTATGTTTGGGAAGATGAGATAGATTTTTATTTGAGTTGGTGTATTGAAAAATGTGTTGAAATGATGTTTGTAATTAAAATGACAATTTTATCCCTATTTTCACAATTTTCAAAATAAATCAATAGGGGCAAAAGTGTAATTCTACTACCTGTCACTGTGACAGCCTACCACTGTCACAGTGACAGCCACAGCCGGCCACATTTTTCTTTTCTTTCTTTTTTTTTTTTTTTTTGAAAACCTTTTGATTAGAGGCTTTTAGGCTATTTTTATTTTTGAGGCTACATTAGCCTAAACCATCTCTTCCCAAACACCCTATCAATGGGGATGCCTTGAGTTATGATGACCATTCTTCTCTGAGAAAAAGACTGAAAATAATATTGTATGAATGTTAAATATTATATTGGCTTGGTTGGAAATTACTGTATGTCTTTTTCTTTCTTTTGTGGTTAGAGTAATTTTGATCCAATTTTTCATATGGTGTAAGAGTTAAGACAGAGAGATCAGAAGAATTTCTTGTCATCTTCTACTTTTAAGTTTTCATTTTTTATAGCATGTCTTAAATGCAGGGTGCTCAGGATGCAAAGAAGGCAAAGCTGTATGCAAAAATTGGGAAAGAAGTTGTATCAGCGTAAGTTGTTATTAACCCCCCTCATTTCTTGTTAGAGCTGAAACTATATACTTACCCTGACATCAAAGTACTTGAGAACAAGTCCTGTTCTGAAGTACTTTTGCATCTGAACTTTTTTTTTTGAATGTTGTCTGTTAGTACCAAATGTTTTTAACCAGTATCCTGTGACTGCATATCTGATCACTGATGTTGAGGAATTCACTTTTTCAATAATGCAGTGTCAAGAAAGGTGGTCCCAGTCCAGTATCAAATACGGCTCTTGCAGCTGTACTTGAGAAAGCTAAGGAGCTAGACGTGCCCAAGGAAATCTTACAGCGCAACATAAAAAGAGCTTCTGAGAAGGGTCAGGAAGCTTACATTGAGAAATTCTACGAGGTAGTGTCATTCTCATCAATCACATCCAATTTGACACCGTGAACTGGTGGAAATCATTTTAGATCTTATAACAAGCACTTGTATATTCAGGTCTATGGTTTTGGTGGAGTGGGTATAATAGTTGAGGTCTTAACGGATAAAATAAACAGATCGGTGGCAGCTGTTAGAGAGGTGGTAAAGGACTGTGGTGGGAAAATGGCAGATCCAGGATCCATTATATTTAAGTTCAGCCATGCTCGGGTTGTAAATATAAAAGTCACGGATGCCGACAGAGACCAGCTCCTTGCCATTGCTTTAGATGTTGGTGCTGATGATGTCATTGAACCTCCAATATATGAGGATGACACCGAAGAAGATAGGTCTGAAAGGTACCAGCCAACTACTCCTTTGTGCAGATTATATTTCACTTAGCTGTTTTCATTGCTTATTTATTGTTATATGCTAGTAGTTGTCATTGTGAAATTCTGTTACATTCCCTGTTGGTGTGAAATTCTCTTACATTCACTGTTTTCATTGCTCATTATTGTTATATGCCAGTAGTTCTCATTGTAAAATTCTGTTACATTCCCTGTTGGTGTTTTTCTCCTTGGTTTGTCATTTGTGGGTGAATCATACATAAGCTTATGGGATGGCTTGTCACAGGTGTTACTTATGGTCCAAAGAGTAATATCCTTGACTAGGATGCATAATTGAGGAAGAGTAGGTAGCAAAATTGCATGGATGGGTATGGGTGTCAGGTGGGGATCTAAGTGTCCGATCCATCTAATTCCCATGTCCTAGGACACGGGACATAAAAAAACATTCATATTTCTTAATATACTTCTTTTAGTTTGGTAAAATGTTGTTCACAGGTGCCATAGAGCATTTTATGCATAGTTTTGTAGTTATCTCGAATTACTAAATATACTTGCTATGTAAATGTCCAACAACACATGTCGGACACATACAGTGTTGAATATGCAACATGCATACTTACACATTTGGAAGAGCCTATGTAATATAGGTAGGTAGTCAAGTACTAATGAATTGCTGCAAAACTATATAAAAATATGCAGAATGCTGTCCCCAAGGTGAGGCTTAAATTAAAACAACTTGAAGCTTCTAAGCTTCAAAGAATTATTCTCGATGTTGTCAGGTGAAAACCTCTTGAAATTTGATGACAATAATATGATTTACATAATTTCTTAGTTTTCTTGTAATAAATCTTCTCTTACAGAAAAAAAATTATAATAATTGGTTTAGTTGGTTTTGTTGGTAGATATTATAAAATTGTGAGTTCAGCAGAGAACTACGCAGCAATATTATCAAAGCTACGCGATAAAGGAATAACTTTTGAACCTGATAATGGATTTGAGCTACTTCCGATAACCCCTATCGAGGTATGTTGCTAGCACAAACTGGATGCCCATGGCACTTCTCTTTCACCACAAATGGATTTGCTTAACTTAATAGTTCAAATTCTTGAAATTTTGTCATAAGCTTCTAATATCAGAATTATTTGCATCATGAATTTAGTTGTTATATTAACAGTTGAACTCATTGTCTTATTACTCATTGACGTAATATGGACACTAAATTTACCTTATGCTTGTACAAAATTACTGAAGTTAGTTACCTAACTGTAGGTCCAACGTTGTCCCAGCTATGAGCAGTGAACTTCAAATTATATGCTTAGTTACGTCGATATGTTTTTTCATTCTAGAAGTGTTTGTACTTCTTAGATCACTTTAGATTGAGGGGTGGTTTGGAATGATCTAAATAAGTGCACTTTTTGACTTTTTGTGAAATATGAGTTGGGTATGGGTTGGGTTGGGTTGGGTTTGAAGTGATGTGGTAAAGAGGTGATGTGACTTAAATAAGATGATGTGACTTAAATAGGATATTAACTTTTTGACTTTTTTAGAGTACCCAAACAAGGCCTAACTATCATAATGTGCTCTACTAGGCAGTAATCTCTGTAAACAAAACCAAAGAAAACGAAAATACAACCAAACATTAGTTTTTTGGACCCATTTTCAGGGAAAAAACTGACATTTTTGCGTTGGTGGGTCTCAGGTGGATGATGAAGCTATGGACTTGAACAAGGAACTTATGTCCAAGTTAATTGAACTTGATGATGTAGATGCTGTGTATACAGACCAGCAGTGAGTAAAGTTAGGTTCCGGTCAACTCAGCATCTAAATTGAGGTTCTGCTGCTGCTGGACTCCTTCGTTGTATCTTTGTTATGCAAATGAAGCAGAGCGCTTGGTTGGGCATCTACCTAATGGCAGCATTGCTTCTCTGCAACGAAGATTAAAGTTCCGGTAAATTCTTTATTGTCTGAGTATCATCTCTTATAAAGAAAGTGGTTTTTGCCTCCTGAGTTTGTCTAATTGATACGACAATAAAAATTGAACTTCTTATCTTTCTTGCCTCCAATTTTAGTGCTTTTTTTTTATTCTAGTAGTATACTCCATGAATCTCAAAATATACTTGATTCTGTATAACTCCAATCAATGGAGAAGATCATTTTATTGGTGCAATTGCAGAAAAGATTCCTCATAACAATTTTTTCTATGATCTTTTTGTCATTTTTTTATGCTTTGAATAATTGTTTTAAATAATTCCTAATTGTGGTTGTAAATTGAGACCCACAAATCGTCATCAATCTTGTTTATGTTTGAGTTGTGCATATTTGCATCTTCCTCCAAGTAGTCTATGTTTATGTAAGTCCATTCCTATTGTATTAAATGGAAACATTTTTTTTTGTTAATAAATAATCAAACTTTACAAGATAGGCATTAAGACCATGCAAGGCATACAAACATACAGCCCGCAAAGGGCCAAGCGAAACTAACTAATCAAATCACTCACAAAGTCTACAAAAACCAAAACATGTGGATCTATCGCACCCGTAATCCAACTATGCAACACCATCAACAATCTACTCTCTAACCATGAGACGGAATGACACTCATCTTGAAAAACACTCCTATTCCGCTCCAACCACACCAACCAAAGCAAACAATGGGAAGCAAAACCCATGCCTTCTGACGCCTCTTCCCCACCTTAGCCCTACCCCAACTCTATAACACACCCAGCACAGACCCCGGCTACACCCACACCAAGCCAAACAATGCAACAATGAAATTCCATAGTCGCGATGCCACTCGACAATGAAGAAGCAAATGATCCACTGTTTCCGCATCCCTACAACACATACAATACCAGTTAATCAGCACATGCCTCCGCTGGATTAAATTGTCAATCGTCAATCGTCAAAATATGCCCTAAAGCAGTTGTCAAAACGAAAAAAGTAACCTTAGACGGGGAGCCCGTCACCCATACACTCTTTTATGGAAACACAACAGCACTATCGCCTCGAAGCCCACCATGGAAAGAAGATATCGAAAAAATCCCTTGAGACCTCGGACAATCCCACACCAAGGAATCCGCCCCATTCACATTATATAGAAGCTCTAGTAGGTCCACCAATTGATCCACCTCCCAATTCTGCACATCCTAACGAAGATGAACATTCCGAATAACCGACTGCCTCTGCCGACCTCTAACTAAAGCCACCACCTATGAAGCACCGACACGTTCCCAGGCTTTGCGTACAAGTGTCGGACACGTGTCGGACACGGACACACGTCGGACACGCAGTAGACACGTGTCCGACACTCTCTCTAACGTGTCTCTTTTTTTTTGAAATCTTCCAGTCGGACACGCCATGGACACGGGGAGACACTTTTCGGACACTCGTGAGGTGGATCGAAGAAGCCCTAACTGTTTTCCTTGATTGACAGAGAAAGAGAGAGAGATCGAGGGAGGAGAGAAAGAGAGAAAGAGATCGAGGGAGAGGAGAAGCTAACCTGTTTAGATCCAAGAAGCTGAAGCTGAGGTATTCTTCTTCTTCTCCTTCTTCTCTTCGTCTTCTCTATCTCCATCTCTGTTCTTCTTCTCCTCTTCATTTTTTTCCTCTCCTCCTCCCTTTCGTCTCTCCCTTTTCTGACTCTCCTTTCCTCTAATTTTTGACTTCACTTTCTCTCTCCTTTATCTTTTCTCTTTTATATTTTTTTCTTATTCAACGTTTCTCTCCCCCTCTTTTTTTTCTTTATTCTTTTTTCTTTATCCTTATTTTTATGTTAAACTTAAAATTCATAAAATAAATTATTTTTATTTTAAAAAACTCATTTTTTTATTATTTTGATTGTATAAGAATTAATGATTTTATTTTTATTTTAGACATATAATAAATAAATAAAATTATATATATTAAACATGTCATCAGTGTGTCGTGTCCCCTATTTTTTGAAAAATTGCGTACAGAGAAAGAGAGAGATCGAGGGAGGAGAGAAAGAGAGAAAGAGAGAAAGGGAGAGGAGAAGCTAACCTGTTTAGATCCAAGAAGCTGAAGCTAAGGTATTCTTCTTCTTCTCCTTCTTCTCTTCGTCTTCTCTATCTCCATCTCTGTTCTTCTTCTCCTCTTCATTTTTTTCCTCTCCTCCTCCCTTTCGTCTCTCCCTTTTCTGACTCTCCTTTCCTCTACTTTTTGACTTCACTTTCTCTCTCCTTTATCTTTTCTCTTTTATATTTTTTTCTTATTCAACGTTTCTCTCCCCCTCTTTTTTTTCTTTTTTCTTTATTCTTTTTTCTTTATCCTTATTTTTATGTTAAACTTAAAATTCATAAAATAAATTATTTTTATTTTAAAAAACTCATTTTTTTATTATTTTGATTGTATAAGAATTAATGATTTTATTTTTATTTTAGACATGTAATAAATAAATAAAATTATATATATTAAACGTGTCATCAGTGTGTCGTGTCCCCTATTTTTTGAAAAATTGCGTTTTCGCGTGTTCGTGTCGTGTCTGTGTCCGTGTCCGTGCTACATAGGCCACCACCTTCTCCTTATCAGCAACAATAGCATAAATCAGAGGGAACATACGTGCCAAAGAGACCTCACTACACCACCGGTCCTGCCAGAAACGAGTTCTATCTCCCACTCCCACTTTGATTTGGATCCTATCCCAAAACTCATTCTAGCCTAGTCAAATTCTCTTCCACAAATCTCGACCATGAGATTGGCCCACTCCCTTCGAACACCACCCCCCTCTCCGCCCCATACTTAGCCACCACCAGCCTCTGCCACAACCTATCCCTTTTCTCCGCAAACCACCACAACCATTTTCCCCAGAGAGCTCGGTTAAACACCATCAACCGCCGAACACCCAAGCCCCCACTCCTTTGTAATACAAATCCTCTCCCACGCCACTAGATGATAGTGAAAACCCTCAATTCCATTGTCCCACAAAAAATCCCATTGCAACTTCTCTAACCGCCTAGCAACCATCACAAGTATCACATGCAATGACATAAAATATGTCGGGATACTAGACAGAACACTCTTAAACAACAGTAATCCGCCCCCCTTTAGATAAGTATTGCCGCTTCCACCCAGCCAATTGCCGCTGCACTCTCTTTACCACCTCGTCTCACACCTCCTTTGCTTTAAATGTAGCCCCCTAAAGGAAGTCCTAAATAAGATATTGGCAACACAGCCACCTTGCAACCTAGAAAAGCTGCTAACTCTTGAAGTCGCACCACCTCACCCAAAGGAATCAATTTTGACTTTGTCAAATTAACGTGAAGCCCTGACATCACCTCAAAGCACAACAACAAACACCATAAATGACTAATCTGAGCTGCATTCGTATCACAAAAAATGAGTGCATCGTCAGCATAGAAGAGATGTGATACCACCAGAGGAGTGGATCTCGTCCCTACCTCTAATCTTGACAACAAACCACTCGGACTGCTCTGGATAACAACTGACTAAACGTCTCAATAACTAAAATAAACAGTAATGGGGACAATGGATCCGCTTGCCGCAAACCTCTCCATGTGGGAAAGAAGCCTGTAGCTTGACTTTTCTGTGTTCCCTTTCGGAAAGCTCGAATTGGTCCTACAGTTCGGACTTCTGTCACAGTTCTGAATCTAATCTCACAAAGTGCAATGTAAGACTGATAAATCACCAAAGAGTCCAAACCCGGCAATTAGTTTTGAAAAAATCAATTTTGAATCAAAAAGTGCCAAACATGGACTGCTTTGCCAGATTTCAGAGTCGCCGCCTAAATATTTTGTTTTGGGAGATTTAGGAAACCTTGACTCGTGCCTAAGGCCACGTGTCCGTCATCACCAAATTTGTCTCGGCTTGAGAACTTGGGTACGAGGTGGGAAGGTCCTGAAATGAGCACCACACTCGCCCGATCAAAGATCGGCCTCTACTAACATGATATGTTGTTTTTGAAAACACATGTGTTCTTATTCCAGTTATTAATCTAACTTACTATGTGATGCGCACAGCATACAAGTATAGACTAAATCACTCAATTTGGAGCAAAACATCTTGATGTTTGTTTTTAAAAATGATTTGAAAGTGCTACTCGCAAGTAGGCTAAAGTGTGAATTTGCCACCAAACAAGGTGGGCTTAAAACATGATGATTTGCCACTTCAAGTGGGCTTTAAACTCACATTTTGATGAATTGTTTCAATTCAAGTAATGAAGCCTTCATCCACAGGCATTCATGCAGTTATAGCAGTTAAGCAAATAGCCTCATGGCAAGCCTGCTAGCATGACAACATACACATCTCATGCAGTATGCTAAAGCGTAAACACTTATAGTGTACTCCGAGCCAAAGAAAGGAAACTAGTTAGAAATCAATGCATGATCCTAGCTAAGTTAAGATGCCTAATGCAACACATGCACAATGCAGCTAAATAGGCTCGGCCATTCTAAGATGGCATATGAATGCAACACTCGATAACATGCTTTGAAACACGTATTCAAGTAAGTATTGAAATTCAATGCAGTTTGAATAATGCGCCGAGCCCGGTGCATGCAATACGAATGGATGATGCACGCATGCAAAGTATAAGTATGCTAATTGAAACATGCCCTAATCTAACCATCGAAAGCTGATAAGTAAAAAGGAGAAAGAAATGGGGTTGGAAGACATGCATACACGCACGCACCCTTATTACAACATTTGCCCTCTTGACGGAGGGTCCGAATGAAATGAAAGCTAACTAGCTACGCTAATTAAGCTAACTATTACAAATCACAACTAATTAACTAACTAGTTAATGAATTACAAACACAAATGAATAGCTAAACATATTAACTACTTAAGTATAGAACCCAACGAATTGACTCGCTAAGAAAAGCAGTTAAAAGGCCTCGAGGACGAGGGATACATGCATGCTCGGTCGACTTCCTCCCGAAATCCCGTCGCCTTGCCACCGGTTGCCTCTGTTTGTATTCGCTTTGATTCTAAACACCAAACCAATTCCCAGACTGCTTCTGCTCCAGAACCAGAACAACTTTGAACCATCTTCAAGCTAGTGGACTGTCGGCCACCAGGGGAGGCTGTAGGCCACTTGTCGGCCACTTAAGGAGGTTATAAGCCACTTGCTTCTGCACACTTCCATTTTGCTGCAAACAGAGTTCAACAAGGGCAAAGCAAGGCATTTACAGGGTATGTGTGTACAACCATTCTCCTTATCATT